AATTACCAAGGTGAAGACAGTAGTTGAGGTCGTATGACGTGATTCATGACGTAAATGAGTCACAGCCCAATGACATCATATTACTTACGTTTATTGACGTCGTTCACTCACCGAACTGTGACGTCGGACTGACGCCGAAAAGACGTCAGAATGACGTTCAAATTTGGTGATGACAGTGAAAAAGATTTCTCGAACATGGTGTGACAAACACCACTGACATCTGATGATATATAACATTGATTAGGCATTGTTGAGTCTGCTTGATGGTCCCTCCGGTGTAATGTCAATTCAATCGTCTATTCAACAGTGCTATCCCTCAGTACGCATCTTCATCAGAATAAAATTACAATTACTCGTATTTGTATCAAGAATTATGTAGTTTGTGTCGGCGAGATGTAAGCAAACCAAGAATAGTTTGAAAGCAATGAATAGGATGTTGGCGAATTAGGCTTCACTTTGTTGAGTAACGTATATTCATGCATTTCGTCACCCAACAAGACTCTGAATAGCAAATTAATGGAAAAAATTCTGAATGACAAAGCACACAAGTTCGTACGTCATATATACGTCACTGCAACGTCATAAAAGTTATTTTAATAAAGGTACACCTATATATTATCATTTGTATATAAATATATATAGCCTCTCCTCGAACTGTTCTTTCAGAAAACAACCAATCTACCTCTTTTATCTGGTGATCTAAAATATCGATGAGGTGTATAAACTATGTTGTTCATGTTTCCCAACAATCCCAACTGATGAAAACTTGCAAGGATATTCAATCAATATGTTGAAATCGTCTCATTTATATAGAATCGTTCGATTATCTTACAATCCAGTTAGAAATACGAATACGTCCTTTCGCACCCGCCATTTTAATCATCCGTCAAGAAGTCATTTGTTACCGTCATTTATCAGTTAGTGTGATGCCAATATTTATCATTCATTCGACCAGTCTAAGTGCTGGCTGCAAATTTCGACCGTCATCTGATAACATTGTTTTTTATCGAATGACACCTGTACCAATTGATATATTGTGAAGAATGAATGAAAACTCACACTTTCCTGTGCGGTAGTCTGCACTCGATTTGTTGATTTGATAACGAGATGAGAATTATGCCATCTTATTCCAATTGAAGAGTAGATTTCAGAAACGTATACCTGTGCCACCCCTTAATCAGAGTCAAATCCACGGAAAAGCGATATATTTGTTGCCATTATATTCCGGACATAAATTTGTCATATGATAACGAGTTGAAACAAGAAGCAATTGTGAAAGGATAATGTCCCCTTTGCGAATATCCAAACGTGTCACGATTAAAACTGATAGAAGTTAGCAGCACAGCGTTAATATTTCCGAAAATATTCCGCTCCTCACGCAAGATAATATCCGTTGGACCGATGTGAAACTCAATATATGGATTTGAATATTTGTAGTGCGACTCGACGTCCCTGAAAAGAACGGAAGAATAGAAGTGTCCATGAATATTGGTTGTTGACTCACAGGCAACAATATGACATTGAATGATCAAGGTGACGTCAGGAGTTGACGTCATATGACGTGAACAAGTCTCAGCCCAATGACGTCATATTACCTACGTTTCTTGACGTGATTCACTCACCAAACTGTGACGTCGAACTGACGTCGAAATGATGTCAAAATAACGTTCAAATTTGGTGATTATACGAAAAGAATTTTTTCAAATATGGTATGATGAACACCACTGACATTTGATGAGATATAATATTGATTATTAATTTTTGAGATTGCTTGGTGGTCCCTCCGGTGTCATGTTCATTCAATACTCTTTTCAGCAGCGCTACCAGCTACTCGTATTTGTATCAAAAATTATGTAGTTCGTGTCGGCGAGATGTAAGCAAACCAAGAATAGTTCAATAGCAATGAAAAAGATGTTGGCTAATTCAGCTTCACTTTGTTAAGTGACGTATATTCATGCATTCTCTGTCACCCAACAAGAATCTGAAGAGCAAATTATTGGAAAATTTTCTGAATAATGAAACTCACCAAATCCAATTCACCGACGTGAATTTTAGACGTCATCCGGACACAACTCTGCAATGTGATAACGAGTTGAGACAAGAAGCAATTGAAAAAGGATAATGTCCCCTTTGCGAATATTCAAACGTGTCGCGATTCAAAATGATGGAAGTTAGCAGCACAGCGTTAATATTTCCGAGAATATTCCGCTCCTCCCGAATGATAATATCCGTTGGACCGATGTGAAACTCAATAAATGGATTTGAATATTTGTAGTGCGACTCGACGTCCCTGAAAAGAACGGAAGAATAAAAGAGTCCATAAATATTGGTTGTTAACTCACAGGCAACAAGATGACATTGAATGACCAAGGTGACGTCAGGAGTTGACGTCATATGACGTGATAAATGACGTGAAAAAGTCTCAGCCCAATGACGTCATATTACCTACGTTTATTGACGTGATTTACTCACCAAACTGTGACGTCGAACTGACGTCGAAATGATGTCAAAATAACGTTCAAATTTGGTGATTATACGAAAACAATTTCTTCAAACATGGTATGATAAACACCACTGACATTTGATGAGATATAATATTGATTATTAATTTTTGAGATTGCCTTGTGGTCCCTCCCGTGTCGTGTCCATTTAATCGTCTTTTCAGCAGCGCTATCCTTCAGTACGCATCTTCATCATAATTTTATCAGCTACTCGTATTTGTATCAAAAATTATGTAGTTCGTGTCGGCGAGATGTATGCAAACCAAGAATAGTTCAATAGCAATGAAAATAATGTTGGCTAATTTAGCTTCACTTTGTCAAGTGACGTATATTCATGCATTCTCTGTCACCCAACAAAAATCTGAATAGCAGATTATTGGAGAATTGTCTGAATAACGACACTCACCAAATTGGAACGTTACACCGACGTGAATTTTAGACGTCATACATACGTCACTGCAACGCCACTGCAACGTCATCAAAGTGACGGTTGTAATAAGTACACCTATATTATCATTTGTGAATAGACATATATAGCTCCACTGTTCTCCGAGATATACAGGGTGTTTGAAATATAATTTTTTTCCTACTTTTTGGGTATTGATAATTCCAATAGAACTTGCATGTTGATTCGATTCAATGAGTTATACTTCTATTGACGTTAGTGAGTATATAAATGAAATTACCAATTTGTCACAGAAAATGCCCATCCTGTATATATAGGTACAGTCGTCTTCAACGAACATGTCGCAGTTGGACGGTATGAGCGCTCTTATTGCAGCGGTGATCAAGGGAGCTGACACCGTCCATGTGCGACATGATCTCTGAAGACGACTGTACATTGCAAACCTAACGGTTTCACATGATAATGTGCAACGTCAAGAAACTGACGTCTTATTTCACCCATCTAGGTAACGTTCCCTCGACATAATAATAATAATAATAATAATAATAATGTTTATTGAAGTACAAAATAACAAAAATACATGTGTTTAAATATCATTGTACTTCAAAAGGCAAATAGTTGGCAAGCCATTTTTCATATTTGCCTTGGATGATTAAAATCACAGGGATTAATATACAAATACTGCACCTACATAAGGTGAGCATTACATGACAATACATGACAATTAATTATGAGATTAACAATCGAAATCAAAATAATAAGTTGGAGACAACACTAAAATTATACAGTGCATATTATTGGTTCATTGATAGTATATGCAGTTTGAATGATTTTTTGAACATTTTCATATCTAGAGTACCACTGAACAAATTTTCATACATATTTATCATCGTAGGTGCAATATATTCAAAGCAACCTTGGAATTTGGATGAACGATGTTGGGGTATAGTAAATGAATCTGCATTTCTAACATTTGCTGTATGAATGGTAGATCTTCTGATGAGTAATTCGTGCAAGTACTTGGGAGTCTCAGTAGACAACACCATATAAACAATTGATGCATATAAACATGTGACCCGTTTCTCAATTTTGAGTATTTTCATTTCATTGTAAAATGGTGTTATGTGATCACGTCTGTTGATATTCCTATTTGAAAAGCGTAAACAGTTATTTTGCATCACTTGCAGTCTATTACGCATCTTATCATTAAGAAAATGATAGTAGACAGGTGCACAATAGTCAATATGTGTAAGTACTAGTGAGTTAGTTAGATTCCATTTAGTAGAAGGTGGCAGAATGTTCCTAAATTTCCACAAAGATCTGTATTTGAAGTAGCAAGTACGAATTTTGTTGAGAATATGTGGACCAAATGTGAGATTCTCATCAAAAATTATTCCCAAGTTCTTCACATTATTTTTCACCTCCACTATTACATTATCAACACTGATACGTACTGTCTGTTGAGATTTACATTTGGCTATAAGTGACTTAGTACCGAAACAAATCGCTTGCGATTTATTTGGGTTTATTAAGAGACCATGATCAACAGAATATCTACTAATACTCTCAAGTACTGCGTTCAAATTGCCTATGCGTTCATTCACATTCTTATGATCACAGGAACCATAGATTTGAACGTCATCAGCATATAAATGAATATTGAAGCTACTGTCTAAATCATGTATAATATCTGCTGTGAAAATCACAAATAGGATAGGGCCCAGAATACTGCCCTGCGGTACATCGAGATGATGACGTGATTTTAATAGGGAGTACGTCATAGTGACGTCATAAATTGGTATGTGACGTCTCTGACATGAAAATCGCCAATTAGAGACGTTACAGTGACGTCATCATTTGTCATCTAGTTGCCTGGGTTGCTATAGAAACTGACAACAGGGCATTTCTTCTACAAAATTGAACATATTTCTGTAATTCGAGATATAATTCGCAAATTCTTCATCAATATCTGTTGAAGTATTACCGTTATCACAATTGAATATGAATCATTCACCACATTCTCCATTCGATGATTGTATTTTCCTCGAACTGAACAGATAGTATGAAACAACTTACACGTTTTGTGTGATTTTAGCCGCCATGATGCAACGTTTTCTCAATAAATCAGTGGTTGTTACTGGTTCTACATACGGAATTGGTTTCGCGATTGCTGAACGATTTGCTATGGAAGGAGCGAAGGTAAGGTATATCAAACTGATAACTTGTCCAAGGATCCCTTCTTGGAAACAACGTATATTAACGAAGGTGATACCACAAGTCCCTAAAATATTACCGATGATTTTTTCAATTTTCTACCAGAACTTTTTTATTTGGCATTTAAATGAAAACAAACCGATTGATCCCCATTCTGATGAAAATACACTAGCAAATTCCACCAGTCAAATTGATACTATGTCCTTCTAATATCTTGATCAAATGGTTCGAAAGGTGATGTGTATGGCAAACCTTTGCAGTGACTACAAGCGAGGATGAAAATGGAACTTCATTTGTGTTATCACGTTGGAAGACGATCAAAAAAGTTACGTTTTGTTTTCTCGGAGGATTGATAATTGATTTTTTTTGCAACCGACACAAAAGTCGTCCATTTTAATACCAAAATTAGCTCTTGAATTGACGTTTCTATTACTGACACAAAAATAGGTATGTTGCGAGGCAACATATTTAGTTCCTAGGACCTATAGTTGAACTTTAGTTCTTAGGAGCTAAAGTTGAACTTTAGGTCCTAGGAACTGAAAAGGATGTACTAGACGTCCTCAAATATAAACAACATTGTTATGGTCGGTTATTTGGGTTGTGACGCATACCTGATTTGTTTCTGATTTCGGCAGATTTGACATTACATACCCATGCTGGAGATATAAATACACCTATTTATAGTTGAGTATGAAAATTATAAACATCTCAGTTGAGTATTTCTTTTTTTGATCAGGGAAGCCTTCAAGATTCACATACTTGCTTGATCTGTATATCATTCGTTATTCTCGGGATGGATAACTAGTTTTTGAATAATCACGGCAAGCAATAGTTGTTGTCTCAAACCACGATATTGTTTACTTCCATTTGATTATCAAGTCAAACACAGTGTAGTGTGAAAGGAATAAATAATCGCTATTTTTATTGTTGATAGGCTCACTAACCTAACATTTTCCACGTCTTGTTCCTATAACTGGCACTGGCGCGGTATTTGCCATTAGAGCACCTGGTCCATACACAAATATGCCACTCTGTGGTTGTTTCTAGATTGACACTACAATACGAACATCCTTGACAGACAGTTGTAGAAACAATAGCATGTTTTATTCGGATCAAAAGTGACACATTGTTTGAAAAGCGAATTTTGCATTTGCGAGGAGGAGCGTTTAGCGAAGTCGAGCGAGAGCAAAATTTGCAAGTCAAACAAAGTGTCACTTTTGATCCTGATAGAACTATATACTATTATTGGTACTTACACCTTAGATTGGTGAAAAGAAACAAGATGGAGGAAATGGTAAGTCAGATTGATTTTGACAAGAGTTCAATGTAAACAAGGTTTTTCAGGAACTATGCAATTCAATCAGAATAATACCGAATGATTGCCTAGAATCACGCATTACTATTCATTGGTTAAAACAACGAAAACATCACATTTCGACATGTGGGAAAAATCGTAGGTAATACCACGAGTCCTTCAAATATTATCGATAATTTTTTCAGATTTTTCATGAACATTTTTCATTTGGCCAAAATATGAAAACAAACCAATTGATGAAATCACGAGTCCGTAGAACGAGTAGTTCGATCTAATTCGGTCAAATAAAAAAATTTGAGCGATGACAATAAAAAAATCATCGGATAATATTCGAAGAGTTGTATTTGGGAACATTATATTTCTCAACAATTTGAGAAAAATACTCATTTCACGAGTCAAAGTAATTCTACATATTTTCATTGTGTTCATACGGCCAAGAATTTTCTGTAGATTTGCCTCGCACGGATTATTTTTTGCGTTAATATATTGGCTCATCACTGATCTATAACCTGCGGATGTTATTGTTCGTGTTCATGGAAGAGATAGTTTTCATTTAGCCCAATGATGATAATCATCATTATTGATTCAATCACATATAAGGATACGAAGATAATAAACGCAGTTGAGTCAAACTAGTTTTGAACTATAACCTATATAGACCAAGAGCTCGGTTGAGATTGATGCTTTCGATTGAAGTACCCCACGATATTTAGTACAACAACACCTTCAAGTGAGGGAATTATTTCAGGAGGGGGTGTAAAAAGGTCAATTTTTTTGTCAAAAGGTGAAAGTAGTTCTTCCAGACTGACATTCTGGACAAAAGTTTCCTTTGTGATTGCGAATATAACTGTGCTTTCAGAATTTGAGCAGACGGGTGCGTTACCTAAGCAGACTCCGTCGAAAATATGTCAAAAATGTCAAATGACAAAAAAGAATATTCTACCTTGCAATTTGCATCAAATGATACAACATACAACTTTTCTTGAAGGAAGAAATGAGCAGACGGCGGCCAGAGCAGGCAGACGCCCATTTGTCATGTGAAGTGGTTTCCATATTTTATTCGGACGATATCTGAATGTTGTTATTCCAGGCTGAAATTGGGTACATTCGTTATGTTTTTGTTTGTGAATTTCACTGTTACTTCAGATTTCGAGCAGACGGAGGCGTTATCGAAGCAGACGCCGTCAAAAATATGTCAAAAATGTCAAATGACAGAAATAAATATTCCAATTCGCAATTTGCATCAAATGATAGGAAATGAAATAATCCATGAGTTTCCTCTGAAGTAAGAAACATAAGATGAAATTATCTTCTTGAAATTTCCTTCACCAAATTGTTTTTGCCTGGATTATTTCTTCAACCGTGAACTCTCCGTCTTGATTGAGCACATATTTCTCCAAATTGCATACAAATCTCATTTACCATGCGGTACATCCCACAATTCTTAACCATTCCGAAAATCTTCGGATATCTAGTAATGCATCTGTCTTTTCTTCAAGAGAATTAATGTATCATTCCTCCAATATGTTACTTCCTCCTTTCCCTTCTTACACTGGCCAAGGTTCTCCAGACATTTTCAAAAAAATTTGGACCTTGTAGCCAAATTGAATCGGTGGAGAAATCAATGTCGTCCTTTTGTTTGGTAGCTGAATCAGCAACATCAGAATTTGACGGTAGGGAACCATTTTCAATTCAATATATCGGTTGATTCCAAAATTTCTTGAATTCTATGTGCCTCAAGTATTTTCAACCTGCTCGAATGTGATCTCAGCCTACTTAACACTATTTTTGATTCTTTCCACCAAAACATTCCAGAAATATACTTGTTTGTTTCTTGTCTGATAAGATGGGCTAACCTGGCTGACATTACAGCACCTTCAAGTTCAATCCGAGGCACATACAATAATATTTCATGAATTGATCCAATTTTACATTTTGACGATACCAGATATACTTTTATCTCGTTATTAAATGATTTGCTACGATGTTAGGAATTTACTGCAAATGCATGACCACTTCTATCACAGAATACGTGCATTCGAACATGTTCAGTACCTCTTGGTATTGTGAATGTTGAAATACTCTTTATGCTTTCACACCACCTTCGCCAATTTTTCAAAATATCTTCTGCAACATTTTCTCTTCTCATCCAACAAACTTTCTCCAGTAATCTTGAAGTATCAATCTTCCTTTCATAATGGGAATAGACAGACACCCAATCGGTCATGACACTCAATAGTCATGATGATTTGCAGAAGATCTCTCTTTTTAAGAGTCCTTTTTCCATTCCTAAGTTCTAAGGGAATTTGCGACAAGTCGAATTGAAATACAAAGGTATCGTCATCAGTATTCCAGGAAAGTCCCAAAACTCTCTTCAGATTTTTCTAGTCCCAGTTCGGTGATTTTCTTTTTGCACTGTGACTTTCTGAAATGGATTCCGATACTTCTTCAGAATTACTTAACCAATTCATCATGTCAAATCATCCAGCTTTGTGGACTACATGGTGTCGTTCACTTAATTGTTAATAATTGGGCTATTGATGGGGAACCTTCGGATCTAAATATCATGACACGCATCTCGTATACGTTTGGCCCCTTTCCTCTGTCCATTCCCCTGTAAAAAAATCTCTGGCAAACGTTGTCTTTCATCCGAATCAACACTTGGTGGAACATTGCCTGGATAGCTCCACAAAATGTATACTTGTTTTCTCAAAATTTGTACAATATGGCCACCAGAAATGCAAACAGATCTGGGCCTTCAAGAAGGTAGTCGTTGAGGCTCACGCCAGATATTTTTGTTGCTGCATCGAAGACAAGCCTGCATTTCCCAGGTTTATTCGGATTTCTCACCTCAAAGTGTGGTAGATACCGAACTCGTCCGTTGTCATCAGGATTCTCCAAAGGATAGTTTCTCTGCATGATTTTTTGTGAGAAAATTATCAATATTGTTGCAATATTTTTTGGAAATCCTTCATCACTGTCCATCTTTCTTTCTATGCATCTCAGTCTGTTGATTGCGGCTATCTTACTTTCAGGTGAAACGAAATTCTCTTTCTTCCAGGGCATACCTATTTTGAATCTTGTGTTCTTCTGAGTGTCTTTCCAAATATGTCCATTGCTTTCTGATAATTCTTGGAATATTGCAGTTTGGACGTCTTGTGGCCATTTTTAATCTTGAAATTTTCTTTATTAATCTCTTTCAGAAATTTCTTATCATATTCGCACACATTCGTAATGCGCATTTATGATACGTCGCTGGCCGACTTTCATCGGAGCTATTCGTGTAGTGGTAGAAAGAAGGAGGATTGGAATCTTATATAATAATAGTATTGAGATGGGGTAAACCGACCATATTCATTGAATATCTGCTGCACTTTGTGGCATTAACGTTGTCTGGAAATTAGTCTCATGAAGTAGGCCGCCAAGTTTATGATCATAAATGGATATTCTCTGCAGACAAATATTTCTTGTTCAAGGTCGATTTCCTTAATATTGGAAGTAAGCTCTGTCGAGCTTTTCATTTTACATTATGAGAATTTTTTCTGTCAAATTTCTCTAACTGAGAGTCATTCACTTGCACACATTTGCATGTTCAAAATAATCATTATATTCAAATTGATGATTGATCACATCAGAAGAGCTACGAAGTCAGTCTATCAATTTGCCCTAACCTATCCTAAACTATTCATTCATGACCTGAAACATCAATGGATTTCAGGTAGTAATATCCAGCAGAAAAGAAAGCCATGTTCAAGAAGCAACACAAAAACTTCGAAACAAAGGATATGAAGTAAAAGGTGTAGTGTGTCACGTATCAAAAGCTGATGAAAGGAAGAATTTGATCGAGCAGGCTCAGGAGAATGGAGGGATCGATATTTTAGTCATGAATGCAGGTGAGCTTTTTAGTAGATAGTTGTACACTGGTACTGGTACTGGTGGGGGACGTTTCCACGTCAGCAACTAGTCCCCAATGGGACCTTTTTGCAAACCCCAAGTGTTTTCAATGACTGATGTGGTTCGCTCAAGAGAGCTGGCTAACATCCTTTTCAGGCACCGCCCATCAGCTCTCTTTTCAGAGTTTTTCAGCTGTGTTTTGTAGGCTAGTAATGTACTCACTACCATATGCGCAGTGGCAGGCCTGCTAACTATCATCGTTAACCCCCGAGACCGAGGTCTACTTAAGCAGCTGGCCCGCTCTCACGCTCAGCTAGTAGTTTTTCCACACCCACCTACATACACCGTCCTACTTCTTCTCTGATGCTCACAACCACATCATCATATCTTTCTGCGTGTTCTGTGTAGGCTTTGTTACTAACTCCATGCGCCACTTTAGGAGCAGCACTGTTAATTGGAACGCAACAGCGAATCGTGCAGGACTATCCCCAGCCGATGCTCCGAAACTTTACAATATTTATTTCGTAGATAAAATATTGAAAAAAAGTTCCTTGCCCGTGCTGGAAATCGAACCCGAAGATAGTTGTACAAGTGCGTCAACAACTTTATTTGTCTGGAAACATACGAAATTGTCAAAGTGACAATTTCAACTTTGAACTGGCCATAGACCATTTTACGCAGAATGTTGACCTAGTTGTTTATAAAGTGGCTGGCGTCAATGGCTATGATATCAGAACAGTAGATAAATTAATATACGTAGACATAATTTGAAGTTAACACTTCGAAATTCTAGGACTTTTCAAGTGGATGGTGTTAGTGTTCCTAATTGTTTTTTTTTTTCATCAAGTTACACACCTTGCATTGTGACAAGAGTATAATAATCATACCGCGCCTTTATATTCAATATTGTTTGGAATTGACAATAAATTTTATGAACGTCAGAATTGAAATATAATTCAATTAACTATTGAGAAAAAAACATAAATTTATTGTGAGAATTCTGAAAATCTCATTTATTCAGTTTTTCAAAGAAAAAACTTCATAATTTCCCAAAGGAAAAAATGAAGTTTTTCCTATTCCGTCAATCTAGGAGAATTGAGCACATCACTTTCAACCCTATGAGTTTATTAATATATGTCTATTTTGTCGTATAAAAATGTTGTCACATGCATTCTTCCCAATTTTATAATTGATGTTCTGCGAAAAGTGTATTGATCCAAATTGAAGTAGGTGTTTATGCCCTATTTCTATTTTCCATCTACGGCTATGATAGATTTGACAAAAAATTGAACCTCTGAAATTGTATATGACAATTGACAATCAGGTGCTATTAGGGAAATGGAAAAGACAAAGAGCAGCATATATGTCTCATTCTCTTATTCACTCAAACCATTATAATATAATAGAAAATAGAGAAGGACATAAGTTCAGCTGTGTCCGAACTCTTATCTACTAATACTATCCAGTTACTCTAACCTATTGATGATCAATAATTTGCCTAATAATGCCCAATTGTATGCATTTAAATCGATAGGTGATATGGAATTCATCGAAGATTTTCCGTTATCGGTTTACCCTTCCCAAGTTTCTCAAACGATTTCAATCCCTGTTTCCTAACGCCAGGAATTTATTTTGGTTACTTCGATAAATTTCAAATTCCATCAATGTCTGTGACAAGGCTACTGGGTGATTCTTGGTAGTTTCCGGAACATGGGAGCTCATGAATCTACCCCCTGAAAAAGTACCACTCAACAACAAATCTTCAGGACAAAACGGGATGTCACTGGTAGAATAGTGAAGCATTAAGCTCGGCTCGTTGTCTGTGACAAGGCTACTGGGTGATTCTTGGTAGTTCCCGGAACATGGGAGCTTATGAATCTACCCCCTGAAAAGGTACGACTCAACAACAAATAGGTCTTCAGGACAAAACGAGATATCACTGGTAGAATAGTGAAGCATGAAGCTCGGCTCGTTGTCAAAAGCTGTGTCCAACGCGAGTAATTTAGCACGTTTGGAATTAAAAAAAGAATGGGTTGCCCGAAAAAATCTTGGCCAGGCTATAATTGATTGAGAATTCAAGGTTCAAAAGTTATTTATTTTTTCTGAAAAATGCGACCCATTTGGAAACAATTAACAATAAGGCTGTTTTGAATAAACCCATATGTTATACCATTTCGAAATGGGAAACTTCTTCTGATGATTTGTTATCTTTCTGGGGTAGTTTTTGAATCTGCCAGCGGCATTTGAAAATCGACTTGAATATTTCATTCAATGACGAAACTCAAGGAAGAGAACAATTTCCTCAGGTCATTGATAAGAAGTAATACATGTCACAAAATTATTTCTGTGGAAAGGTAAATCAATGTGGATGAAATTTTTGAAGAAAAAATCACAAAGGTGACATAGTTTCATTGTATTTAATTCTTTTTATGGAAATGAAAAAACATTGATACCTTTTGAACCATCAACAATTGGATAACCACATATACGGTTAGTTTGATTGGAAATTACAATGACCCCCCACTACCACCCCACTTCCTTTGATCCATGACTTAAGGGACACTGTTTATCGAACATAAAAATAAGTCTTGTTGTATTGCGAACACAATGATACGCAAAAAGCCTGTCCTGAATGACGGTGGTCGAATTTAAAAAAATCAAATTTCAGTGCGACTGTGAACGTGCGACAAAACTCCTAGAGGAACGTGTGCATTTCACACCAGTGTAGTACATATCCACCTGGTTGTGGGCAGTTGTGAATCACACTCAATTATAAGAGTGAATAGAATCGTGAAAAATGACTCGAAATACATGTGTATTCATATTTCTTAAAGGTACACATCTATACTGGGAAATCAGTTACAACAAATACAGCAATTTCAAATTCAGATTGCACTTTTTCTGATAATTAAATTCTTTCATTCATTCGGAATTTGTTGTGTAGCTGCAACAAAATATCAGCTGATTCATGGTGTAGTTTTTTTTCATGTTCTGGTTCCCACGAAGAGGGGTATCCTCTGTAATGTTCAGAAAACATCGTGAGAACCAAGGGGAATAAGGTAGGAGTTGGTGTTCTTCTCAAATTTCTGGAGGTTATATGCCTCGGGGAACATCTCCCTTGAAAATGTGTTCCAGAGCCCCGTGTTCGTTGGATGAACGAGTCTTTGGAAAGAGATGTTCTGCAAGTCTCCAAAGTGATCATGAAGGGGTGCGAAGCCACAACTCGACGAGTTGATCTTGCGAGGACTGTCAAGGAAGGAACAATTGTTGATATTCCAGAAGAGCATCGTCCATGAAAATCTTTATTAAATGAAGCCAGATCGCCAACTTTTCTATGGTGTTTCAGAGAAGTGAGTGAGTTTGCAAGCCAGGCATTACCCACGAGATGAATTGCCCATTTTTGGACAAAATTCAACAGTTACAAGATATGTTTGGGTGCTGCACCCCAAATATGGAAACAGTATTTCAGGACAGGTCGGATCTGTGCCTTATAGATCATAAACAGCTGACTGGAAGAGAAATAGCTCCTGGCCCGAAACGAAAAACCAAGTTTCAGGGATACACTTTTAGTAATTAATCTCACATAATCCTCCCCAGAAAGGTTATTGCTGATAGTGATACCAAGCATCGAAATGGATATCTTCAAAGGTATGGTTACTCCTGACAAGCTTATGTTGGGCACAGTGATATCGGCTTCTCCAGAGAAAAGGCATGCTCGTGTTTTGTTTGCATTGAAATCTAGTAAGTTAATGGATCCCCAATCGGGGATTGTAGCCAAGTCCATATTTATGTTGTCAACATTTCTCCCTCGTTCGAATCTGATTTGCCTGGCTGGTATTGGAGCCCTGGAAGAGAAGGTGGTATGGAGGGTACTATCATCTGCGAAGCTGTGTACTGGACATGAAATTGCTTCCAACAAATCGTTGATATGGAGTAGAAATAGTGTTGGTGCTAGAATTGATCTTTGCGGAACACCAGCATTCATGATAAGAGAGTCAGATGAAACTCCGTCGACCACCACATGGAGAGACCTGTTTGAGGGAGAACTAGCTAACAGAGAACATTGCTGGGGAGGCAAGCCATGAGATGGAAGCTTGGCGAGGAGTCCGTGGTGCCAGACTTGATCGAATGCCTTGGAGATATCAAGTCCCACGGCTGCGGTTTCACCATATTTTTCAATAGATTGCTGCGTATCACACGACACTAAAGAGCAGAAAATAGAACCTCATGATTCTTGTAGGATACTGACAGTTGATCACTGTTAGTTTCCATGGGCATGGCAAGTCTTTTATAATGAGAGGTTATGCTGATTGTTAGAATTGTTGTTATCACTTGCTCAAAATCGTTATTCATCAAGCTTTTCTTCCGAGTGATAGAAAAAACGTTCACTATATAGGTTTCTCGTTTGATATCAACTCAGGAATGTCACCGATTCTTCGATATAAAATAATTACGTCTCAATAATCCAAGCCCCTGGAATTGACTTATCTATATATAAAATTACGGAATTGTTTTGAGTTGTCTAATTATTGAAAAGCTGAACAAAACACTTGAGACACAAATATGTTTCATTAGAGTTGGAATGTTATTTTTCTCTATATACTCATTTATTCAACTATAGTGCAGCTATATTATAATTCGAGATCCTAACAGTGACGTAACACCAAACGCACAACGAATACTTGAGAGGTCTTCTCGTTTGTGGCAAACTCAAATACATTTCAACCGTCATTCTTGAAATTTTTGCTGAACTGAACGAGACATATTTATTCGAAAAAAAAAAAAATTGCGGGGACGCCTAGTCAATTCTTAGAACTGATATTCTAGAGTTCAAGTTCAAGTTTATTTCGTCATTTTTGATTCAAATTGTATATGTGACACGTCTAGAACAAAAAACAAAATACAAATGAAATACACATGAATATTCAGAGAATGTTTGTCCAATATTGGTTGATCAATCGGTTAGATCCATGGATCCCATTTTTGATTGAAATTAATGAATGTTGAATAAGGAGAATACTCGACCTTGTCTTTCAATAATTTTGTTGTCTTGATGCCATTTGAATATTTGGCTGGCGTGATCTGAGATTCCAAAATTGTTAACTCTGTTGGAATAGTCCCTCAGGTTAGTGATTATGTAATCAATGCCAGAGGTGGTTACAATGTAACAATATTTGGCACATCTGATTGGTTCATTTATGATTATGTTGAATTCATATGAGTCTAGAATTTCTATATGTTTTTATATTGGTGGCATGTTTTATGCAAAAAAATCTACCGATATTATAATGGAGGTATATTTCTGAGTCACGTTATTCAGGAGTGCTTAATCAAAAAAAATGTATACATTCTTTATGTCTCCAGTTGGTGGACGATATATTGTGATGAGATGTCCGAAGCACTCTACTCATAACTGAAAAACTTTGACAGATTATGAACTATGAATCTTGAACAGAAGGACTCATCTTCTGAACGCTGCATTGCGATAAAAGTAATCGCATTTTGATAAACGTCGAAAATTCGAGTGGTCCCACCTGTTTCTTTAAGCACCTCACATTTTATTCGCTTATAAGAATATCGAATGCTTCGGTCTTGCGTCACGTTCAATAATTCTTGATGCGCGAATGGGAAGCTATCCGAAAACTTTATACACAAAAAGAACTGATGATCTTTACAAAATATATATCATGTCTTATTTCAATGAGCTGTGCGTTCATAAGTCTAACTTTTTCATTAGGTGCTAATCCCGTTCCATGTGAAATACTAGACAGTCCAGAAAGCGCATGGGACAAAACATTCGAAATAAACGTCAAGGCCCCATTCCTTTTGACGAAAGAAGCTCTTCCACTTCTCAAGAAGAGCCAAGCTGGCAGAATCATCTACATGAATACCGGGACCGTCTACTTTCATCTCGACTACCTGGGAGCATATATAAGCAGCAAGATGGCGCTACTGGGACTCATGAAAATGTCTTCCAGGCAATTGGCGAAGCATGGTATAACGGTGAATAGCGTGGCACCGGGGCCGGTGTTGACAGCATTTGGCGAAATATTTAGGGATAAGAAAGATGAACTCGATATCGTATGTCCTATGAAAAGGTACCTATATATAGTATGGGGTTTTATATGCACTGCTCATCTCGGGTCCTTTCTCCCCCCCCCTTTCAATTTTTGAACCACCTGGTACCCTAACAAGACGGGATCTTGATAGGTCCTACAAATGTCAGTATGTTTCAGACCTATGTATAGGGGGATTCACCATAAATGTCCCCTCCTCTAGCTCACTCATTTTTGAATCGATTTAAGAGTTTGGAAAATAATCTAAGATGATTATTCAGAATTCTTTTTCCCGTTGCATCTGAAAATACAGGGTGCTCGGAACAAATGATCTACAGAGTACTACTTGATATTTTGGAATGGAACACCCTGTATTTCATTGTATTTTTAGATTCTTCCTGAATAGCTGATTTCATCAATGCATCACACTTGGAGTCTAGCAGAAATGATTACAGAGATATAGGGTGTTCAACATCGAGATTTTACAAGTTTAGGATTCTTTTGTCTCGGAACTATTCACTCTCTACTGACATTTGATTGGAACATTTACAGGGTGGTTCAAGATTCAGAATAGATAGTAAATCAAAAGTTGAGATATGGACATGAAAGCCGTTTCGACCGATGATGAATAGTTTCGTCTCAAAAAAATCCTACAGTTGAAAAATCTCGATTTTGAACACCCTATATCTCTTTAATCATTTCCGCTAGACCCCAAGTGTAATGCATCAACCAAATCAGCTCTTCAGGAAGAATCTAAAAATACAATGAAAAATAGGGTGTTCAGTATAAAAAAATCAAATAGTACCCTGTAGATCGTTTATTCCGAGCACCCTGTATTTTCTGATGTTCTGAAAAATTGTTGTAGCGGAAAAAAACTTTATCGACAATCATTCATGATGATATTTCATATTTTGAAATCGGTTTAAAAATAACTGAGCTAGATGAGGGGACATTTATGGTGAATCACCCTGTACGATATCCTAGAGATGTTTTTCATAGTCGTCGATCAACTGTTTTTATTGGATGCTCTAGAAACATTTCATTTGTTTTTTTCTTCCATGAACAAATTTATATGCTTAATATACCTACCTAATACACCACAGTTCATGTTGAATTTGGAAATATTTTGAGTTAGCTAAGATATGCAGATCAAAATCGTACTCGTACTCATAGCACCATCCTAGGTTATTTCATCAATAACAAATCTGAATATTTATATTTATGAAAAGATTACCAGGCATGATGAATTTTCAGTAGAAACAAACTCTCCACGTCTAATTTGTACCTCATGAATCCCTCTATTAGAATAAATGATAATATCACATACAGACTATTGCATTCCATCATGACAAGGTCATATTCATGGGAATAGACAAACATTGAAAATATCAGAATTTCGATTTTTACTCAATCACTGAAAACTTGAAAACAAACGACTAGAATCTGCCAATTATTTGACACACTATGGATCAATATGAGGATTCATATAATTTCCTCTGATACAATGTCTGGTTTGCCATATATAGAGTGATGACAATTCAAAAGCTTAGAATCATTGATATAACCTCGGATATAACTCATGTACAAAATGAGATACATATCACGAATGGTTCATAACTATTTATATAATATATAGAGTGGAAAATAAAATGTCTCATGAAATACCCCCACCGACCCCCTGAGTCACAACCACCCCAACGCATATCATTTCAATAGTAGCCCCTACTTGTGATACCTCATTGAATAGCTCGGTGAAAATGCATTCCAATACTACTATTCATATCTAGGACTAGGTGAACTGACAGAGAATATTCATTACCTATATCATTTTGCTACTTTTTGTAGTATGAGAACAAAATCGTTTATGTCGAGCACTATATTATAAAACCTATTGTTGCTGAAAGAGTTACGTGAATCACTGATCTGTAAACAGTTGACCAGTGAAGCGAGAGAAAACGAAAATCTGCAGAATGTTCTAGTTTCAGCTGGAATATTGTTCTTTTCTTTTTCGTTGTTCTGGGTGTGACAACGGTGTGACACTCTCACCTGAGTTCGTCAGACGATACGGACACAGCTCCATCCAATCCAGCAAAACATGTCCAAGATAAAATTGTTTTGTTCTAAAATTGTTCTATCCGTCATTCGGTTGCCCCCTTACGAGCAACCCTCCGAAGTCTTCGAAAGTCTTGTGCGAGCAAGGAATGACGGGGGCCTTACCTTTTAACGTGTGAACAAGGCCATCAGAAAAATTTCTGCAGTCGACGGGACTCGAACCCACGACCGGCAAGCGAATGCGGATTAGAATATGGACACTCTGTCCGCACGGCTACCTGGCCACCCAGCTGTGAAACTGTGACATGTCCGCTACGTTTGAGTACTCAAAAGATTATAGAATTTGTGTTGTGAAAATTGTCAAAAGCTCCTGATTCTTATTTTTCTCATTGTGGATATATTGACGAAATGGTCGTATTGAGAAAAGTTGTCAGATTCCATACATGATATCAAGCATTTCTATAGATATATGAACTGATAGGCACAGACCTTGACACATATGGGTCGCACTGTTGATGGCGTTTTCCGAAAATATTGTTGCTTGGGTCTTAGAATTATTGAATTGGGCGAGGATCGTTCACTATCCGGATCTGCTTCCAATCAGAGACTATATTTTGTCGATGCGGATATTTGTGCATCGTTTGACCCAATGAGGGTGGTATCTATATGAACATTGAAGACTGCGGGTATGTAACATATTGTTTATGTGCAGTACAAACAGTTTTCCAGTCAGAATGAAGCTATCGCTTTCCCGGCCACAAATACCTGCATATAATCATAAAAAGATGAAAAAGATGAAGGAAAGTAGCTCAATCAGGAGAACTTGGTACCAAACTACTTAATAAATCAATTGATCCATCCTTCCTTCAGAGAATTCTTCAAAAACAGCAAAAATCCATGAAGAAGTCATTAATGATCTGATTACATTTAATTTTCATTCATTAGAGAGTTGAAGTGTTGTCATGAACGTTAACGTAAACGTAGAAATTGACAGCTACGCATGCGCATTTTCCAATTCTTCACGTTTGCGTTGTTAGTGGGCTTACGGGTGTACGTTATCTCACGTTCCTTCAAGTATACCTCAAATATCAACGTACGTTAACCAAACTTTACTCGAAATATGCCGATGAGACAAAATTATCAAATTCGAGATCACCAACGAGTTCTGCATCAAGGAGTCCTCTAATTTTGACAGGAATAAATGTTCGAATCTAAACACACCGAACCGAACTGAAAATGACCAATACAAACCAAAAACAAAATGTATTAATACGTTATGATGACAGTGACGACCAAAGTGGCGACTTCAACTCAATTTAACGACAATACGTAAACGTTATTTTTCGTACGTTAACGTCTACGTGGAGGTCTACGTACAGTGATTACTTCAACTCTCTAATATTCCTATCTCTAGCATCTTCAACTGTATTCAATAAGGCAGTCGATGGGTTTCGGAACTCTTCTTGATGTCTCGAATATTCCATGTACCAAATAGAACTACCCACATGAGCACAACAACCTAATGGAACGAGAATCCAGATTTACATGTACAGTACAGTAGTAACTAATGATAGGGTTCTCAAGATCTTGTGCATTGAATAACATCCATATTTGATAACGTGTGGCACTTCTGTTTCTTCCAATAACGAATCTATTTGATATTCATTGTGGTCCTGTCGTCACTGCATTGTATCTTGGACATATGCTGGAGCAAGTTTTATTTGGTAGGTTCCGACAGTCAGATCTTTCAAAAACTCTAATGTCACCCTATCCTAGCAGAATGATATTGGTAATGGATATTTCATGTTAGTTCACCCAATCCGAGATATGAATAATACCACTGGAATGCATTTTCACCGAGCTATTCAATGAGGTATCACAAATAGGAGCTATACTATTGGAATGATATGCATTGGGGTCGTTGTGACTCAGGTGGTTGGTGGGGGTATTTCATGAGACATTTCATTTTACACCATATATATTTGTATTACTATTATGAACTGGGCGTCAATTGAAACGTTAATAGTGAAATTTGGCATCAAGTTTGACTTCTCGTAATTTCTAAAATATTGAACGAATTTTGGATTGCCGCCCAGATTCTGAATGCCTTTTTCATCGTCTTTCGAACCGTTCCTTACAGCTTTTTCTAAATTGATCAGGACCCGTGATACAGGGAGAAACAAAGTTTCGTGCATTTTGAAAAAAATTTCTCCGCCCCCCCATTTTGTCAGAAGACCACGATGCTCATATTTTATTCGGGCATTTCATAAATAGCAACCATACCTCGAGACGTTTTCGAGTTTCTGCCAAAAACTACTGTGGTTTCCAAAAAAAAATTTTGTTCTGCATTTTTTTCAATGGACTAATTTTAGAGAAGTTCCATAAATGGATGCTTTTATGCATTTCAGGAAATCGTTGGAGCAGATATGTATACCACTTTACTCAAAAACAATCAATGATTTATTACTTCGCAGTCTATGAAGAAAGTTTTCTACCTTAGTGAGCAGTAAATCAACACATATCATCAACAAATACAAACAACGATACCTTGTTTCTATAACAGCGTATTGTTGAAACAATGTAGGTATGCATAGAGGTTATATCAATTGCCAATTTTCATGAAAACGTCAGTGTAATTCGGTTCCTAAAAAAATTAAAGATGCCTCGTTCAAATAGGGTCGAAATGGAAAATATCATTAGGTAAGATCACTATAGTGATATTAACTATAATTCAGTACAGATGATTATTATTTCAGGTTACGACGATTAGGATATACCCAAACTCATTCAAGTACAATTTTCAATAAGTCAGTCATGACAATGAAGAGACTGATTCATCGTGTTTAGGATACAGGTAATCAGTCCATTTAAAAAAATGCTAAAAAAA